CCCTGTTGCTATATACCCAGTGGTTTATATCTCTGTATTTAAGTTTTATTTCTTCATCAGTACTGGGGCTTTAACTTGGGGCCTTGCGCTCGCTAGGCCAGCATTATATCACTTAAGCACCACCTCCAACTTTCAATCCTCACAATTAGAGTGAGAGAGTTTTTGGTACTCTTATATGTTAAATGTGGGTAGCAATTTAAAAAGTCACAATACTTAATTCATAGATAACTACACACATACATCTGTTTTTTCTCCAAGTGACTTTCAGATGACCTGTTAATGAATTTCATAATGGCCTGATGTGAATCTGTTTTTGCTAATAACAGTGAGAAAAAGAGCCAGCAGTGGACAATTACTGGAAAGCGGAAAGGGCATGAATAATGCAGGCAGGGATAATAGAGCCATTTTGGATTATCTGTGGGCTGTGGAGAGCACTCTATCCTCACAGGGTCGCCTCCACAATACTTCCCCAGCAAGATGCTTCTCTAGGACAGACTCACAAATGGAGAGAGGGCACGTGACTCCCGTAGGGTTACTTATCAAGAGGCCAGTGCTACCTACCATGGATAAATGCCGACATATACAAGGCGGTGTCTCCTTGGCCAGCCACTGTGCTTCTCAACGTATTAGGCTCTTGCTGTCACGTAGCTTGCAGCGTGTGGGCTGGCGAAGAGAAGCAAACAAGTATTTTAGTTCAGACACAGCATTGCCTGGGTTCCGTGCTCAGTGCATGAAAAAACAAAGCAGCTCCTTGCTCTGATCTGCTTTACGATCGTAACCAGCGAGTCCCTTGCAGAAAAAGATGCACTTAGTCCCTGACTTTCCCAGCCTGCATGACCAATGCATTACCAACCTAGAAGCTTAGGATAGCCAAACAGCCCTGGTGGTGTCCCGCAGAAGGAGAATCTGGGCAACGTGGGAACATAAAGGTAATAAAGAAGAAACGTGACAGAGAAAGAAGGCACACAGCAGAAGCAAGCCGCACGATGATGGCGGGTGGCCTATTTCCATCGTCTTGCTGGGCTTTCTCCCGGCAAAGTGAGGCCTTGGGAGAAAGAGTTAGGAACTATATAACATGTGTGGGGTGGGAGAAGGTATCATCTTAGGCCCAACAGAGATCAGGGAAAAGCGAAAATGAACTAAACACAAACAGCAGCGGCGAAGAAGAAAGTGGCATTTATTTACCAAGAATTTGTGGAACATCTTGAGCACAGCAGACTATGCCCGGCCCTATGGGTACAAAAAGAAACAAATCTCAAGCCAGGGCCCTATGGTGTCTAATCGTCACTGGCTATTAAGTGATAGTTTTCAGGAAGCTAGGAATGAAAGTGTTTTAAGTTTTCCCAGGTAACGGCCGTTCCTCCTGGCGGAGGCAGATGGTTGGGCCTTCAGAGATTATGCCCAGATGTTGCCTTGGTTTTCATTCTCTTTAAGTAGTTGTACAGAGGGGTTTCAACTCAGCATGTCAGTTTGTGCGTCCGGTGCATGTTACTGGCTCCTTGGGTGCCCCCAGCCCCTTCTTTGTGTCCTCCTGGCCCCCCCCCCAGGCTTAAGGATGGGCACTATTTTCCTATCTGAATGGTAGTTGTCACCGGAAGACTAAGACATTCGTTGGCTCATGCCCATGGCCTTGAATAAAATACCAATCTCTGATGGAAAAGGAGATTGAAGGCAGGCACCCACCCCCCACAGGTGGTACTGATTCGCCACAGGGGTAAATTATACCCGTCACGAAGCAATTGTCGAATGTTCAGGAGTTCTTCTTTAAGCTCCCAAGATGCTGCTCGCTGTGGCCAGCGAGACTCCAGTGGTGTGAGGCTCAGCTCTGAGGAGCCCTCCGTCGAATGACCTGAGACTGACGCTGTCCTTGAAAGCTCTCTGAGCCCCAACTCTGATGGATTCCTGCCCGGGGATGCTGAGCTCTCAGCACCAGCTGGCTGGGGAGCTCTCCTTGGTAGGCTCTTCTCTGCCTTTTGCCTAGTTCTAGGCTCTCTTTACCTCTTCCTCTCCTTCTAGTGTCTGCTTCCTACGGTTGACGTCACTGTATGGCTTAGGGAACCGTACGTTCTCCAACGCAAATTCCCGCCACTGAAGCGAAGCAGTGTGGTTTCTGTTCTGCAACCACCATTCAGCAGGCAGGCTGTGCGGACAGAACTAGTCACACCCCCATTCAAAGACCTGAAAATGTGTATGTTCCCTGGGGGAAATGGAAGAAATCATCTATAAATAGCACCCCAAATGGGAGGTCCCAGATTGGTCTTTGGGGAGTTCTTCTGCTAAGATTTTTGGGGATTTTGCAAAATGATATTTAATAGCCATGTAGTTAGTGAAAATGTAAAATGGAACACACTATCCTACCAGAGCAAACTTTTAGAGACTCGGTGAGCATGAGCCCTAGAAAGGCTGCAAAACACCAGCAGAAAGGCAACTGGACTCACAACCTCTGCCCGAATTACTTGACTAGAGATATTGCTTTATTTTTATTATTATTATTATTATCCATGGCCATCTCACGGTATACATGGAAAAATAACGTTCTCTAAATTCCTGAGAAACGCATCATAAGTTTCATAATTTTGTGAAGGTTTTAATTTTCAGTTCCCTTTTACTAGTATATAATGTAAGAATCATGGTTCTTTCCAGTGGTTGTATTCATCACCTTTGTGTTTAGACAAGTGTCAGGAGAAACTAATGCCCTGGGCAGTGCCATCTAGAATGAAGATTCGTGAAAGGCGTGAAGAATGTCAGGCTTCTGGGAACACTATTATAGGAAATAAAATTCAGGTTGGGAAAACATAGAGCCGGGCTGGGAAGGTGGCTCAGTGGTAGAGCGCTTGCTTTGCATGCATGAGGCCCTGGGTTCGATTCCTCAGTACCACATAAGCAGAAAAAAAAGCTGGAAGTGGTGCTGTGGCTCAAGTGGTAGAGCGCTAGCCTTGAGCTGAAGAGCTGAGGGACAGCACCCAGGCCTAGAGTTCAGGCCTCATGACTGACCAAAACAAACAAAAAATTTAGAGCCATGGTGTCTTAGATGAGGACAGGTGTTATGAAGGTTAAGCCTAGACGTGGTAAATTCACACGATCTGGTTATGAGGCCCATCTATTGATATTAAACAAGCCTTTCTACCCTGTCTGTGCATTGTTTTCCTTGTTTTTAGTGTAGAAAATAGTAGGACATACTTGATGAGATTGTAAGGAATAGGAATTAAGAGATGGTAGGCAAGATGACATGCCTTACCCGTGGTGCTCGTACATGCCTGACACATACTCTCCTGGACACACCCATTTCCGTAGGAAAGCATATATAACACACAGCACAAGTTGTTCAGCATGGAAGGGCTTTGGAAGAAACAAATCCAGCTCCTTTGTTCCGCAAATGCAAATAGAACTGAATCTCCCACAGTCTGAAGATATTGGGTAAAGGAGGTCAGAAAAGTTGGCTGGAGATCTGACCTTCGTCTCACTCTTTTTGGTGGTTGTTAGTTGCTGGTACCATTGGTTGAACTTAGGGTCTCACACTTTCTAGATTTGTACCCTACTACTTGAGTTATGCCTCCAGCCCGGCTTTTCACTGATTATTTGGAACAGGAGTCTCATGGACTTTTCTGCCTACAATGCCTCTGAGCCATGGTCTTCCAGATCTCAGCCTCCTAAGTGACTAGGATTACAGCCAGGAGCCCTAGCGCCTGCTCAGTCTCGTTCACTCTTCCTAGAGAGACATTTCAAGGAAACTTGAAGCAGTTCCTCCATAGCATGTCTGCCTTCTCCCAGATAGCTCACCAGGAGTAGTGACAACATATTTTTCCTCCTGGCTTCTGAGCGCAGGTGACCTCTAAAGTGTTTGGGGCCCCCGGGGGTATCTATCAGAGTCAAGATTTCTGCATTTGGAGAAACCCAGGGCACACTTTTCTCCTACCTCCAATTCTTGTTTCCCTGGTTCCGTCCGGTGTCAAGAGAAGCATAGAGTAAGCACCAGGGGAAACAGAACAGTAGAAAGGGAGAAGAGTCTCATGCACATTTAACTGTTGATGGAGGAAAAGCGATCCCCGCTTTGTAAGTGGAAGTCGGTTTAGAGATTGAGGGGGGGGTGGTCCTCATTGTCTCTGCCTCTGACAATCAAACAGCCCGTCATTCCAAACCAAGATCCTTCTCCTTGCTTTGTAACACAGATCCAGACAGCACGTGTTTCTTATTCGTTTATTGATTGTGACATACAGAGAAAGAAGGAAGGTGAGAGGGATAACTATTATCCTAATGTTCAGGTCCACCTTAAACTCAGTCAGTGTCTCTAGAACGCCATGGAACTACAGCAGGCCTATCGCTTTAAAAACAGAGCTCAATAGAACAAAGCAGTACTGTGTTTATGGTATAACTCAAGCGATGTACGTAGACATACGTCATTTATGATCTCTATATAATTTATAACTATACAACACCACATTTGATTGAGGTAAAAGAGCCGGGGAGATTCACAAACAAATGCATAAACTCGGTATCTTCTTTGTAATGCTACAGAAAGCCATTTTACAAGCATAAAAGCCTCCAGCATGCTGGTCGAAATCTACTGATAAACATTTAAAGTCTATTTTTATTTTGCTTTCTTGGAAACTAAGCCGAGATAAACAGAATTTAAGGCAACCTTTGGAAGTGTCAGTATTTCTTATTTTATCTGCCTTGTGGTAAATACCAGTCACAGTGACAATTAAAAATATTGAACAATAAAGGACAGAGGTTGGCACATCCATCCCACATCCACCTCATCCTCATAAAAAACATGTTCTGTACTATGCACAAAACTCCCGTCTCTTGCACACCTTCCACTTTAACTTTGAGGAATAACATGATTGCTTTTGGGGGTACTTACTCAAAGCTATGGGTTGCAGATTTTCAATTTTGATTTCATGTCCGGGAAGCATTTACACAAGCCTCGATAATACTTTTTTTTTTTTTTTTGGTTAGTGCAGAAAATGAAAACATACATAGGTTGTCCTGGCTGCAAGCTATTCCACACGGCTGTCCACTTCCATTGTGTCTTTGGAAAGATAAACCACCCAGTATACAAGGTTGAAGCCCGCAAATGCGACCGGGAAGAGAATTCGAGAATACTGGTCAATTTTACTGCTGCCCCCCAAAGCTGGGGAGGGAGTGGAGGGTGTGACGGGGGGAGACTGTAAGACAGGCCCTTCGGCGAGGCCTTTGCCCGCCTCAGCAGACGGGACTATCGGCAGCGTGAGAGACGTGATTCTTTTCTTCAGATGGTACTTGGAATTGGACCTCTGGAAGAGAAAACAGGTGTTCAATGTCAGCTGAAAGGTACATATCACTACTGAATCATTATTGGCACCATTGGTATTCATGATGCAAGTTAAAACACCCATTCATTTTTTTGTTGTTGTTAGTCAAGAGGCTTGAACTTGGGGCCTAGGTCTCTTCCTGAGCTTTTTCGCTAGCGCTCTACCGCTTTGAAGCATAGCACCACTTCCCAGAAATTCATCATCATATTTCAGGTTGTTACTAAGTCTGTGTTCTGCTCCCTGAGCAACACCACTCACCAGGTAAGGAGTTTATTCAGGCCAAGAGTTAAGAGGACCCCTCGTGTTACCTACTGTTGTTGAATTTGGTTTTGGTTTCACAGTGCTCGGCATCAAACCCAGGGCCTTACACTTGCCAGGAAAGCATTCTACCCCTGAGCCACAAGTCCCAAGTCCCAGTTCTTTTAAAACAGTTGCGTTTCCATCTAGCATCCTAAATGTAACACATCCATTTGGATGATGGAATAAATAGCTCAGAAACTATGGTGAGCATTTGACCACTAGGAGAAAATGGAGCCAGGTTGCAAAGTTCCACAGATGCGTCTTGGACAGCTATTGTGGACATATTGTATGTGTGTGTGTGCATGCGTGTGTGTGTTCATGCATGCATGTGTGTGTGTGTGCACGTGTGTGTGTGTGTGTGCCTGTGTGTGGAGATGCGGTTTTTAACTGAACACACAATGCTAACTACTCAATATAAGAAAACCACCAAGGCCGGGCACTGGTGGCTCACGCCTGTAATCCCGGCTACTCAGGAGGCTGAGATCTGAGGATCACAGTTCAAAGCCAGCCCTGGCAGGAAAGTGTGAGAGACTCCCATCTCCAATCAACCACTCATAAAACCAGAAGTGGTGCTGTGGCTCAAGTGGTAGAGTGCTTGCCTTGAGCTGAAGAGCTGAGGGACAGCGCCCAGGCCCAGAGTTCAAGCCCCATGACCGACAAAAACCCAAAACAACAAGAACAAAAAAAAAACCCTACCACTCAGCTCACCAACATTGTTCTAGAAGCATTCCCAGCATACACCTCATATCACACACTTAGGAATTTGAATCAGCTGCAATTTAAGAAGAATAAACAAATGAATACAAAAGTCCAGTGAATGATTAAGTGGGATTGTTTTCCTACCTTAATATCTATCTATCTATCTATTTATCTATCTATCATCTATCTATCTATCTGTCCATCTGCCTGCCCCTTTAGCTTGGAGTCAACCTTCAGCTAGAACCTTCTGCTTTCCATTCAGAATTTCTGCAGTGGTCTTCTTCCTTTGCAATCTACCCCAAATGACTCGCCTACTTATGAGCACAGTTGTGTGTTGTTTTCTATCATTAAGTTCTCCTTCGGTAGTAAGGCAGTCCAGTGTGAAAGCGGCGTTTAACACGTGAGCAGACTGGGGAGTGAGTGGCGTCCAGGGAAGGCCAGTGCCGTATTCATGGCCACAGGGCCCTGGAAAGACCCCAGGCTGATTCCACGGCTGTTTCCTCCCCACATCTTTTTCTCTCTCAGGTATTCAGGTCTACGTCAGAGATTCTGGTGCGGCCTGATTCTGATTCAGGTTCGGTTCCGACCTCGGCTCATCCCGTGCTGTGGGAGTTGGGAGGCTGTCCTCTGATTCCTGCTATTTCTCCTCTAGCCTCCAGCAATCTCTCCTCCAGCCAGCTTGTCTTGCTGGGTCCCTACCTTCACACTCTCGCTGTACAGAGCCTGATCTTGTAAAATGGCCTTCTTTCCTCCCTGGCAGCAAAATCACTGCTTTGCAGCTTGGCGGGGTTTGTGGCTCACGTGGCAGGCTCCTGTGGCTTAAGCCAGCAACCCTGCGGCCCCAGGGTGAAGCAGCCTCCTCCCCTGTGTGGACGGAGCCATGGGGGCCCTGTCACCTGCCCGTGTGGTGACATTTGGGCCGCAGCAAGCACCACCCCAGCAAGCTCTTTTTGCTCCCTCTTCCTTCCTAGACTTTATTGTTTGCTTGGCCATAAATATCTCTGCATTTCTAAATTACAGTAGTCTATCACAGAGGTTTGAGGCCCAGTGTGCTTTTTAGAGATCAAGGGGAAAATCGGTTTCTTTACCCAAAGCCAAATGAATCTGCGTATCCAAGCTTGACTTCATGGCCTGTAATGAATTTCAAGCAGGGAATATCTCTTCTCTCAGCTGGTCCTATGGTAGACACTCTTGGTCAGAATTAAATAAACTAAAACTCTCGGACAGGACAAGACTTTAAAATAATATAAGGCCTTCTACTCCAGATCTATTGATTCTGGATAGGAAATAAGTGACATTATTATCTATTTAAAAAAAATATGCAGCATCCGAGAACTAAATCCCTAGCGTCAACAGACTGTATGTGATTGGGATCACAGGGACAGTATTTTGGTCTCAATTCATGCTGCCTGTTGGACAGGATAAACTTGGCATTTGTTTCCAAGAGTTTTCTATCTCGTTTCTCAGACCCTAATTTGGTTTTTCATCTAGTAAAATATTCTCTACCTGGGTAAGTGAGATGTCTCACTGTTTCATCTTCTATGAGCTAAAAGCCAACATCTCCCTATGTATACCGAGCCCAGAAGTACTGTCCCCTTGTAAAATTCCTAACAACCACCACAGAGTGCAAAGAACACAGCTCTTGCAGGTAGATGACCTTCCCGGGCTCATCTTGACCTTTAATGGCTATCTGAAGCCTGTTCTCTTTCTTTCTTTAAGCCAAAGAAGGGCAGATGATGCCTAGTTTGTAGAGAGTAAAATGTGACTGTAAAACATAATGTGCTGCAGACATGGGAGGCGTTGTTTGTCCTTCCCCTCTCCAGCAGCGTGGGCTGGAGGAGCTATGCCGGAATCTCTTGGCATCATGACATCGTCACAAATTACTTAATGAGCATCGTCCAAAACAACCCCGATCCAGAGGTCAGGGGCCCCCCAAAGAACCCAACACTACGACAACTTCACACGAAATGCTGCTAGCCTGGAATGAAAGGCCCCTGTGAGTCGATGGCACCGTCCCTGATACGCTGACCCCCGCAGTCCCCGTGGACATGGCTGAGTAGTTCCCAGAACACGAATCAGAAACCCCCAGTTCACAGCTGCGAATCTACGGCTTATCATGGGATGCAGCTTAGGCAGAGATATCCAAGATATGATTGTCCTCTAAGCTCCAACTTCTTTTCTTTAAAGTTACAAATTGCTACGTTTTTCATAACGTTTCTCCTGTTTCTCTTTCAAGTATTCAAACAAAATATCTGGTGTATGCGTGCATACTACAGACATATCTCCTTTTGCTCAGAAGACATTAGAACTTACTTTGCTATAGAACTATTCTTTTTATTTTATTTTTAAATTATTGTGTGTGTGTGTGTGTGTGTGTGTGTGTGTGTGTGTGTGTCCGGTCGTGGGGCCTGAACTCTGGGCCTGGGCGCTGTCCCTCAGCTCTTCAACTCAAGGCTAGCGCTCTACCACTTGAGCCACAGCACCACTTCTGGCTTTTTTTTTCTTTTTGCTTATGTGGTACTGAGGAATCAAACCCAGGGCCTCAGGCATGCAAGGCAAGCGCTCTACCACTGAGCCACCTTCCCAGCCCCGTCAGAACTATTCTTTATCTTTACATGCGTGTGCTGCCTTTATACTCCATTCTGCCTCCTTGGCAGTATTACTCATGTAGCGGTGACCACCTTCTCCCATCTACGTGTTAGCCTCCCTTTCCCAACATGAAATCTCCTGAATGACAGGAGACATTGTTTCCTTGCAGAAGTGATTCAGGATGTCTAGTCAATACACAGAACATACTATAGTCTTTTAAGTTGTATACTTCATCATCAACAAATGCATATAAGCCTAAACCTTTCTAGACATTGATGGGAGGAGAGTTTTCAAAGATGGGTGTATATAAACTTTTATTACATTATATTTTAATGGGTTGTTGGATTCTGCTTTGTATTGCAAATGCCATTTCTAAATACTGTTGACATGCATAAGTTGCATGCATAATTCTACTTACTCCTCGAACATATCCTTAATATCATTATAGTCATTTCAGAAGTAATAAATGGAAGCCCAAGGAGGCTCTGTTGAGAGAAGGTTGAAAGGCAGCATTCTTAGCCACTTGTACGCTGTTCACTGCACGAGATTTCAGCATGCTTCTGAAACTCACAAGTACACCAATTTGTTTTTCACTATGGCAGGCTGTTGTATGAGATGTTGGGGTGTTGAGCAAGCTTCCTGACTGCTTCCCACAAGATAGCAGTAGTGTTCCTCAACACAAGTTCCAACCCCCAGACACACCCTCAGACCCGTCAGAGAGAAAAAGACCCTTGCAGTGAAAATCACTGGTTCAAGGTCACCATTGTGTTGCTGTCCAGCAGTGGTCGTGGGGATTTCTAGCGGGCTGCAAAGGGCATAGGTTAGAGGAAACACAAGCGTCCCGGTCTCTTTGCCTGCTAGATAATCCTCGAGTGGACCCTTGGGAATTGACAGCCCGCAGATTCTGGGCAGATTCTGGGCATCTGTTTAGGAGAAACACAGTAACTATCTGACATGAGGAGAAAGCCAGTTTGGCAAGCCGGTCAAGCTACAGGTTTGCATCAGCTCGCCTGCTCTCTCGGAAGCCCCGCCGCTCGGGTTGATGGTAAAATAGGCTTTTGTCAGAGTCCAGACGAGGGCTCAGCTTGGGGCTGTCATGGTTTTGAGTAGAACACCCGTGGTTTTGAATTTTTCCAGGGCTTCCCTGCTGCTGAGAGCCATCCTGCTTTAGGTATTTTTGGAGCACCTCTTTGTTTTAAGTGAAGTCTGCGGCAAAGGTACTTAGAGTCGAAGTGCACAATGCGACAGCTAATTGTTTGAGACAGGGCTAAGGCGTTTGGAGAAACGTTCGGGACAATTTTGAGCATAGTGTTTTTTTTTAAACGAGGGAGCAATGTGTAACCTCTAGATAGAGAAGATACTCCTACCAAGGCTGCAAAGTGACCAGAATAGGAGAAGAGCTTTTGATGTATTTCAAAAACATATTATTAATCTTTATGGGGAAGATGAACTCGGTTGGATTTGTTTGGCATTTACATCATAGCGGATAGAACTGGGAACGTAGATGACCCCAGAATTTCTACAAGGATGCAGCTTATTGGCATGAAGCTGTGGATTTAGGGGAAAGCAGAATGGAATTGGATATAAGACATGGAGAAAAACAAATTGTCCACACCCCTCCTCTCCTTCATCTCGGTCTGCCCTTCAGCCATACACTGGCACCACTATGGAGAAGGGGGCACATTATCTTCATTCTAGGCAGTCTGACGGCCTAAATTTAGCCTTTAATTGGGAATTAATGACAAGATTCAGAAGAAATCATGGCAGAATTTGCAACAGAGGAGACAAACTTTTCAGCATTTCTACCCTTCGCATCTCTCTAGGTAAATGAGTGTAGCCTGGTAGCAGCCCAGCCTGCCTTGAAGAGAAGAGGAGAGGAGAGGATGGCCGTAGGTTGTATTTCCCTTTCTATGGCCAAGTCTTTATCAGATACCTTTGTACTTCGGGCACAAGGTCATGCTCCTCGGTCTCAGTTGTGACATGGCTCTTCCAGGGATGGGAAGACCCAAACGGAGGAGACACTCTTACCCGCCTCTTCCTTGTATTTCTAGCTACCCCCTTGATCACAATGTATTCTAAGCTCCTCAGTCTGTCTGTCTTGCTGCTAGACAGGCAGTTCCATAAGATGAGGCCCTAGGAGGCCCCTCAGCATTCTGCAAAGGTCCCGACACCCAAGTACACTTAATTTACATACAGGTGCCAGGAATGAGGGCATGTGTATACATAGGCACACAAGCAGTAAGAGTCTAATGAAAATGAAAAGATAACATCCATATAGAGTTCTACGCATGGCTGACAATATTATGATCCATTTCATGTGTCATATTTCTTATGGAGAGGGCATGTCACGTAAAGAATAACAAGAGTGACGGAGGGTGGGAGGGAAGAGCATATTCACACTCAGGAACATGGGAATAAGGCCTTAGACCTTTAAAATAACACGCAAACTAGCAAAGGATGCAAAATAGATCCAGGGTCAAACTTGGTCTTACATACCTAACAAGCACAGTAGGTTTTAACTTATTAAGAGAGGAATGACTCTATAACGTTAAAATAGCATACCAGATTAAAAAAAAAACAGTAAGGAAACATATCATATAAACTGTAGAGAAAGTATCTACTTAAAACCTAAATCAAAAATTACCTCTCCAACCAGGCATGGCAGCTCACACCTGTAATCCTAGGTATTCAGGAGGCTGAGATCTGAGGATCACAGTTCATATCCAGCCCAGACAGGAAGTCCCACAAGACTCTTATCTTGAGAAAACCGGAAGTGGAGCTGAGGCTCAAACTGGTAGGGTGCTAGCTTTGAGCAAAAGAGCTCAGGGACAGCACCCAAGTCTTGAGTTCAAGCCCCATAACTGAAAAAAAATTACATTTCCAATTCCAAATGCCTTGCATACAAAGAGATGATTCATCTAGTGAACTCTCCTGAGAATTTGGCTTTAATGTGTCTTTCTAGGTTTGAGTTGTAGATTTTTTAAGTGCCCGATTTTCTTTGACACTGTTATAGTAAGTTTCAAGGTCAAAAAAATGATAAAACATGTAATAATACATTTACCTACATCTATTTTAAGCAGTTTTCTCTGAAGGACACTTAGCATATTAAAACATAAAACAGAATCATGTGAAATAACCAACCACTTAATCTAGTTCAACTTTACCATATTTGCCAGAGTCCGTCTTACTTAAATAATGTTGTTTTGATTACCACTGAATAGGCATTTTTAAATACCATGATATTTTCGAGAAAAAATATGACCTTGCAATCATAGCACACCCTTGGGTAATATAAATGTCAGATGTGTAATTTATGTTTGTTCCTGTGCAGTATTTAAGGCAACTCGCCAAGTTGTGACAGGAACAAATAAAATGTAATCGCCTGCACTTGTTTTTGAGATCTTCGGGGTTTGAATTTTTGATCTGGTTATTTGGGTTTATAATTTTTGTACTTTGGCCTTTTAGGAACAACCTTCTCCTTTTTTAAGATTTTTTAAGTGGACTTATTTTCAGAAATACAATTTTTCCTAAGAAAAAGAAGCAACTTGCAAGAGAGAGTGCTTTGCGGTGGTTTAAATGCAAGTTTTCCTCCAGCTTCTCATAGTATCTGCTCATTATGTATTACTATTTTAGGATTGTATGAGATAGTTTATAGAGAGACCCGAGAACTTAAATTGCAACTTATTAATAAATTATACCTTTAAATAGTGGCTTACAGAATGGGCATGTTATCTCTAAAGATTAGAAATTTGATTCTTCTTCATATTATGTATTTCAAAAAAGATGAAGAATTTGAGTTTTTCTTATTTCAGTATCAGACCAATGAGCCCATTCAGAATCTATTTTTAAACTTATTTCTAAAGAATTTCTCTTTGAATATTTTCTGTTTTTCAAACATGCACATTAAATTCTAATACTTTATAAATATACGTCTAGAGAGTATATGTATGGCCTTTGTTCAACATGTAGACTATATACTCTACAGGCATGCAGATAGCTTACAGGAGAGTTACTTAAGCATAAAACAATTCTATTGGGCTGGGAAGGTGGCTCAGTGGTAGAGCGCTTGCCTTGCACTTGCATGCCTGAGGCCCTGGGTTCGATTTCTCAGCACCACATAAGCAAAATGAAAAAAGCTGGAAGTGGCGCTGTGGCTCAAGTGGTAGAGTGCTAGCCTTGAGCTGAAGAGCTGAGGGACAGCGCCCAGGCCCAGAGTTCAGGCCCCACGACTGGACCAAAAACAATTCTATTAAATATTTGGAATTCATTTTTCCTGCAGTGATAGCCAAACTTGCATTTACTGTGCTGTGCTGTAGCACATTTTTTTTTTCAGACAACTTACATTTTTGTGATCTTTCCAACCACCTATATATACAAGGAGAGTCAAAGTTTACCGAATATTGAGAATGACCTTGCCTACATTCTCAAAGGATTTCATGCAGTGGTGTACAATACAAATGTTATATCCAGTGATGTGCAATCTGCGGTATTTGAGTTGTTGAGAAATCATTGGGGAAGGGAGGCCCTAGGCTTTGGTAATACGAATATCAGAAAGTTTGCAATCCCTACTTTTTCTGCCAATGAGTAAATAACACCCCCCCCCACCCATGGGAGACTCTGCTTTTTTGCAATTAGATTGGATCACTGGATGTGTGGATGGCAAATCCTCCCTTTTCCCCTACATTCCTTTCTTCCTCCCTCCTTCCTTCCTTCCTTCTCCTTTCCTTTCCTAAACAAGCTTAATCCTAGAAAAAAGAAACCTTTACATGTTTTTACTTGATGTTGAAATGGCCTTCTTTGATTTCCCAGAGAAAAGATGGATTTTTAAATGAATTTTTTAGTTTATTACAGAGAAAATGATCATATAAACCTTTTAGCCAGTAAGGGCCTGACATTTAGGGATGTCAAATATTCATAGCTTTCCGGTTGTTTTTTTTAATCATAAAGTTAAAACCAGGGATTATGACGCTGCATGGGGTTTTGAAATTTGGAACTGTATACCACAATTCATCAATTATAGAAGATTTCCATTTTCCTCTTTGGGGGGAAATAGCTACTCTTTGGGGTTAGGATTAAAAAATATAAAACTCATACCTGTCAGTCAATTTTACAATTGATTTTGTCAAAGTGTGAAGCCCGTTAGAAATTACTCATACATGAAACTGAAATTTTGGAGTAGATTTATAGCAAACTTAAGTGCAACTTTGTTTCTTACTCAAAAATCTTTGGGTGTGGCCACAGTGAATTCAAGGTAAACGTTTCTCACTGGTAATACACTTACTGATGTACATTGCTTAGATGAGATTGGACCCAGGCAGGGTGGCATGGCTGGTAAAGCAATATATGCATCTTATGTACTAACGTAAATATGATCATATTTTAATGGAAATTAAATCATTATATTATGACTCAGCATTCAGAGAATCTATTATGATTTTTAAGTCTTTCTCTCATGAAACAAAGCAGCAAGCAGATTTCTCACAAAAATTGTCCATTCCTTGAGAGTCCCTGCTTCTTTCAGACACTGAAAGCCTCATTAGGACATTCTTAACACACACTCACACACACACTCACACACACTCTCACACACTCACACACATACACTCACACATATACACAAACACATATACACACACTCATACACACGTACACACATACACACACTCATACACACACACATACATACACATACTCACACACACACACTTTGTTCTCCTCCAGTTGTAGGAGTGAACTTGTTCAAAGGAAAACATCTAAAGACTTAGCAGAATTTCTAGTCTCCTCAGAGTTCCCGAAATGTGCCAGAACAAGTAAGAAAGATAAAAGAATACTGAAAGTTGAGAGCAAAGATAAATGCGAGATTGTTACTTGGCTTATTTCTGTGAAGTTGAGGCAAAATGGATCTGGCTTCTGGAGCCAGAGTTACGCAATTCACGGTCACCTAATATTACCTGGGACCATTTATGGGCTTGTAGTCGTTATTGTAATATTACTTGGGCCCAGTTATTCATTGGCTGGTAGTCAGTTGAGTAACGTTGGAAAAGAAAACACTTACCACAATAATCTCAGCTTCCATGGGCTCAGTGGCTGTTGACGTTGTGGCTGGGCCCAGGGCGGCCTCCTGAGCCTTCCTTTTGGCCTTCTGGGACTGCAGGTTGGTGAAGTAGTTGACCGCTGCAAACTCGATCAGAGCCGAAAAGACAAACGCAAAGCACACGGCGATGAACCAATCCATGGCCGTGGCGTAGGACACTTTGGGCAGAGAGTGCCGGGCACTGATGCTCAGCGTGGTCATGGTTAAAACAGTGGTGATTCCTAAAAGGAAAACGAATGGAAAATGCAGTGTTAGCCTCGGAGATCCAGTGACAGAATTAAATGAGCCCCTGTTGGTGGGGCAGGGGGGTGGGAGGTGGGTGGAGGGGGGGGGGATGGATTAAGAAATGTAAGACCATTGCAAGTCATTTTTTTGTTCTTTCATTGGACTAGGATTTCTCATCATTATTTTCAGAGGTATGCTAAATTTGACATGGCTCAAACTTAGCGCAGTGATTTATGTAATTGCTCTAAAGTGATTTTTTTTTGGAACTGGTTTAACTTTACTATTGAGAAATCTTAATGATGAATAATTTTCGTTGTTTCCTGCTGGAGAAAACATAACAAATTATCACTTAAGTAAGAACATCTTGAATTTCTGATCAACAATATTTGTTGTTGTAGTTCAGAAGTCTTTCTGGTAGAAGAGTTAACATAAAATTAGGTTTGTCAGTTAACAAAATTGAGGTTTTAATGGTAACTGTTTACTCATGCAAACACATCTCACCTCACTTCTGCCAGAATTTTATTTATTTCACTGTGACTTGGAAATTTACACAATTGGCTGATCAGTTATGCCGATGGGAAGAACCCATAATGTGAATATTCTCTAGTGATGTGCAGTTTTAATACGGTAAATTTAAAAAGCAGGATTTTGTGAGATTTTAGTTCAGCTCTGGCCTTTCCTATAGTCTACTAAACTTGTCATGAAGAAAATCCAGTAAACACAGCCCTTGGTGCTGACAGTATTTTCGGTGACAGCTCTTTTTCTTTTCTTTTTTCTTTATTTTTTGGTCGGTCCTGGGGCCTGAACTCAGGGCCTGGGCGCTGTCCCTGAGCTCTTTTGCTCAAGACTAGCGCTCTACCAGTTTGAGCCACAGCTCCACTTCCCGTTTCTTAGTGGTTCATAAGAGTCTCATAGGGACTTTTCTGCCAGGTCTGGCTTTGAACCACGACCCTCAGATCTCAGCCTCCTGAGTCACCAGGATGACAGGTATGAGCCACCAGCACCCAGCAACAGCTCTTTATCTTATTGTTTCATTTTGCTTGATTAATATGTGTAAGGATTTTATACCACATTGATGGAAGTGAGAAGTTTGGTTGAGCTACAGGCAACTAGTAACTACTTCTAGACCTGCAAAATGATATCATTTTGGTGGTTCATCCTAATGAGAGGAAATGTCGTGTATGTGAGTGGGTGCTATGTCTTAGTCTTCTGTTTACTCTTAGCTCTTACCTTTTGTTCTATAATGTTTTAATATAAACGTCAGAGAAAACCAACCAGAAGTCTTACTGAGATGAATATTTTTCTGGTTGATTATCACACAACTTACTAGTGAATCAACAACCACCAAAAAAAAAGAGGAGAGGGTTGTTTTCCATGATAGATACATCTGATGAGTCTGTGGACAAAAAAAAGTGCACGGGTGTGAGCCTTCACCCCAAAATCTACCAGCTCTGAACACTGGAGAATAAACGTGAACCGTGCCGGGAGCAGGAGACATACCAAAGACAGTCCTGGCGGGGACCGACTCCTTGTTGATCCAGAAGGACACCTGGGAGAGGATGACGGTCATGATGCACGGCGTGTAGATCTGTATCATGAAGTACCCCATTTTCCTCTGCAAGTGGAAGTGGACAGTCATGATCACATATTCACCTGTGGGAAGACACGCACATCAGGATTCTTGTGGTTGGCAGTCTGCGGGAAGAATGCAGGCGACTACACATCTTGCGCGGATGAGAGGGTAAAGGCATTTTGCAGTGGACGGGAAAGTGCCTTCATTTCTGCGGGGGTCTGCTTGTCTTATATTTACCGAACGATTCGTCCCAAGACTACACAGATCCCCAAATGCACCCACTTGCAAAATCAGCTACTCGTCCCTCCCCAAACACACGTTTTTCTGAGCCCAGGAGCTGCGGAGGGACATTTTGAAAACGTGGCCACTGGAACTGGGCAGGTTCTTACCTGTGTTGGACTTCATGGTCTCGCTGGACACTGTCTGTCCAATCAGATCGTACTGGAGGAGACTCGACGACTCCTCCGGGACTTCCACTGAGTACAGCGGTCCTTTTTTCCATGTATATATGATTTCACTTTTGGGATAAGCATCTGAATTTTTGAAACAAACATAGCCATGAATAAGACTAGTTTGTCTTCGCTGTCTCTGTCTCTGTCTCTTACTTAAAGCGAGGACACTCTTTTCCCGAAGTCACACTAATATTTTTCTTTTCTAGACTTCGGCTAAAACAAAATAACTGCATACTTTGAGTGATTTGACTCTCAGAAGACTTTGTGTGTGTGTGTGTGTGTGTGTGTGTGTGTGTGTGTGTTTGTAACTTACAACTCCCAAACTTGAGGGGACAAGCATGCCCATCCATAGGGAAGTTCACCAGCCTCATGGGGCAGTCAGCGTTGATGGTCAGCCTGGGGCATGGAAAAAGACAGCTGTCAGTGTGTTTGGTGGATGAACCGCTCGAACAGCGGAAAGGGCCTTGGAGAACGCCTCACCTCATGGTGTACAGAATGGTCCCGTTCTGCATTAACCTGAAGAGCTTGTTCGGGGTCGTCATGTTGTGAGCGATGGACTTCTTGCCATTCCTGAAGAAAGTGTCAGGGGTCCAGATCTTACTGACCATCAGGTTATTCAAGCTCAGAATCTCCGCGGGCCCTCCAAACCTCAGCCTCTCATCAGTCCAAGTCTGGCGGAAGAAAACATCCATCGTGTACTCCTAAAAGAAATGAGACATTCACACAGACACAGGCTGGGGAGATGGGTGGCTGGAATAGTCCATTCGTAGCTTCTACAGCCAGTCCTAAAACGAAGCAATAATGCATGTTTATGACATGCACCTACTTCTCAGGAAACCAACCAGTAATTTAATAGCAAGTAAATAATGACTTTTATAATCAATGTGTTGTAAAATACGATATATATGGATTCTATTCAGTGAGTGGTTTATAATCCATAAACAATGGTTTTGGCGAGTCAATCCATTGTTCAAACCAAGGGAATTTGTCATACTATAAAACATAGTGTTTTCTGTACATATGTAAGCTTCATTTTCCCATCTTAACTTTCTTCCGCTTTCTACTCTATGAACCTTTCTGTATCTGCCTCTCAAATTTACAAAAAATGAAAAAAGAGAGAAATGTGTATAGTTTAGGCCTGGTGCTGGTTCTCCTCCGATCAGCCCGCCATTCTGTGGGGCATCTCATTCACCTTGGATGGGGTCTCAGTACAGTTCAGCACAGCTCCAAGAATAGAGAGACTTTATTGATTAGCACATTAGGGTTGCATATCATAATTATTTCATATTGTGGTCAGAGGACATAAAAGCAAATACTGCCATGATCATTCTAAATAGGCATCATTCAAAAATGCATCGCAGTTAGGATTTGTAATTTATAGCTCTGATAAAATAGTGACTTTTAAAAAATTGCGATAAAGGCAATTACAAAAGCCAACATGAAATTACAGCTGATAGTCATATCAATACACTACAACACCAACTTTGTACATTCCTTACAGAACCATTAAGTAGTGGCTAGATTTGAAGGGATTTGTGATGTAATGCACAGTATTCTCATAGCATGGTGATCCATGCTTAGGACACTGCAAATATATTTTAAAAGAGTCACATGCATGAAATAAAATCCCAAGGACTTTATTAATGCAGAATACGGTCATAGGTATTTATACTTGGGTGAGTCAGTATTTGACTAAAAATATAATATTAAAGCAATCAGATTCTGAATTGTTCTGACTCACTTTCCTCTTCAAGTGTCAAGATAGTAATCTCTCAATAAAGCTCCTCTCTCTTCTCGCTGCTCCTTTCCTTCCTCCTTTGATTCCATCCTCCTTTCCTTTCTTTTTAACTCAAAACTTACACGTCTCCCGAATCTGTTTATCCTGAATTCCAATTCCCTACTAAAACCTACAGGCACACCTCCTTATGGGTAGCTGTGTGTATCTCTGCCCTCGCCTGAGTAGCTTAGCTCCTGGGGAATATGCTACCTGAGCGCTGTGCGGGAATATCATGACACACTTAGTTCTAGAACACTTGTTCAGGTTTTCATTGCCACTTGCTATAAATAGTCTCTTACGAATGCTGCAGCCATCTGTACCTGGAGCAGAGTCTCCAGACCCCCGCCGGGCGCTCTGCACTGGAAAAGGTGCACAGCGCCAGCCTTTCCACGCTGGCGACGGTCTGTCAGAAGAGACAGGCAGCTCTCGCTCTTCACAAGTATCCTTGACCGTCACCCCAGCTTTGCAGTGAAAATGGTCGTCACTGACCGGGGCTTTGCCGGGAAGGAGGAAGTCTTACGGGGCGTACTATGTGAATGGAAGAGAAGCTTCCATCTTAAGAAGTCCTCTCATGCTGAAGTGTCTGGCCGGGTCCTCAGTGAGAGGCGAAGGGCCCTCCTCTGAGGCCCAGGCCCGCCCAGTGGCAAGACTCTGACCGTGTCAGGAATCTGGAGCCAAGCAGGGCAGCAGCGCCCGGTACAATCAGCAGCGGGACGCAGATCTTGCTTCCCAAGCACAACACCCAACTCACCATCTCCACATCGGACACTGGCCCGAAGCTGGTCACGTAGATGTCCGTTTTGACTTCGGTGACAGCACCTGAAATGAGCTCACAGGGACAGGGCAGTTACCACCAGGGCTGCAAGGAAGCGACACCGGATGAACCCATGCAACCGAGTAACCAAAACTGCAGCCCACCCCCACGCAAGCCAGGGTCCCAGCCAGGAGCTGGTTCCTCCACCTTTGCCAACTTACTCCACTGCCTTCCGTTAAATTTATTCTAATCAGTACGAAGGAATGGAAGCTAACTGGTGTGATATTCGAATAAATCACATACATACATACGTGTGTAGGTATAGATGTGTGCACATACACATGTATATGTTTATACATATAAACACCTATGGAGACACATACACGTATGTGCATCAATGGAGTCCACAATCCAGATGCTGAAGAAAGTGTGTTATACGAGGATTCTTTCGGCCCCACCCCCACCCCATGAAGCATCCACACATGCACACCACAGCTAGTGCCTGGTGGGAAAGTTCAAGCAGCCATCTTAATACCACTGATGGAGAGCGGAGGAGAGACTGCAACACACAAGGTCTTCCTCTACATCTTCCCACCCTGCCAAACGACCTGCCTCGGCTGGGCTGGGATAAGAAGGAGGAAACCTCAGGTGCCTGGCGGAGCGAAGACGGAGCTGCTCACCCCCAAATCCTGGCCGCAGGCGATTGTCATAGCCCTCAAGCAAGTTGTCCAGGATGCGGCTGACATTTTCTGAATAGAAGTTTCCTCCCTCTTCCAGCTGAGCCTCGGCATCTTCTACCCTGAAAGGAGAGAGTCAGGGATGCTCACACAAGATAGATCACCTATCATACACGCTGCCCCTGCTAAAGGAAGGAAACATCACAGACACGTCTTACTCACCAGAGAACAATGGCCAGCCAGGGCAGAAGAGACACCATCTTACCGCTCACCTTCACCCTCTTCCTGCCTCTTCCTCTCCCTAGCCAGCTCTCCTTCGCCAGTCAACTAGACTGATCTTCCAAACCCCTCATATCTCTCTTGCTTAAGTCTTAGTCAGTAGTCCGACAGAGGAAGAGGCTCCCAGGAAAACTTGGGGGGGTTCTCCTTGTCTTCTTTTTACTTGTTTCTGTCTCCTCGCGTGGAAACAAGGGGGTTTGAGGTCCTAGACTACGTCCTGCAGACACACAGCCTCCTCCGTCTGCCTCAGTTGGGAAGTGAAGCGTCGGAAGGGACAGTGCATGGCCGGGCAGCAGTGACAATAATCGAGCACGGCATTAGGGGAGATGAGAAGGAAGGAGGGCACCGCCAGGGCTGGCACGGGTCCGCGGGGCCTGCAAGGGAATCTGGAAAGCGGTGGCATCTTGCTGGTTGAGATCATGTTCCAATGGGCTCAGCATTTATTATTTCTATGGTTCACAGATGGATTCCTACATGACTCTTTCTGCTTGGAAAGGCAAACACTAGGATTTCCCTGGATTCGCTTTCAGGCTTCCACCGGCTCCATTGGCTATAAATACACTCCCAATTAAAGAAACAGTCGATGGATATTTATTGAGCAGCATCTTTATCACATACCAATTCTGGTCATCTTGGCTGTGGAATAAGAAAAGTTAAGCACCTTTGATCCTACCTGTCAACATTGTCTATTCTCAATCTAAGACATAAATAGGTTCTACCATCATCTTTACACAATTTAATTGGTTTCAAGAATGTTGCCACTGAGAGACAATACCTAAGAAATGAGTGACGAAGTTGTCCGTGCAAAAATCCAATTGAGACTCAAGCATGATAAACGTAGGATATGACAGCATTGTTGGGCAAGAACTTTGGAGACTTGCTACAGCCGGGGGTCAAAAGCAAAGTGTCCAAATGTAAAGAACAGAATTTTAAGTATGTTTTATTAGGAAGAAGCTATAGCAAAAAAGTCCTCATAAACCCTAAAAATGTCAATATTTAAGTGAAAATAATAGACTACAATGAATGAAAAGACTAAAATTAATATAACTAAAACTATAATAAATAAAGGCATCGTGAAAATTCAGGAGCATACGATGAAGGATCCAATATTTCAATTCACTGTTGTCCTGCTAATTACATTCATTTACTTGGTTCACAGTCTATACCTTCAGAATTTCAATTCTACAAAGACAGTGGCAACTTATACAGACATATTTAGCACAGTGTTAAGAGTCATATCTGAAAGCATGATGTAAATGATTTGGAAACAGTTTAAAAATTATGGGTAGCCAAATGGAATCGAGGTGAGGGAGAAAGCGCACAAGGTTGTCTGTGGTTCTGATGACTGAGATTCATCATTACAGGGAATTTTCTGGTCACTCAGAATTTTTCTGGTTACTCTTCAAAAGCCTGCATTCTCTCCAACATCCCTGAAATTGATTTTAGCATCTTTTCTCTTATGTTGTTCATGTAAAGTGAACAAGGGGAAACTTTACCCTGGTCCCAGTTGTCTTCTTTTATACCATGTAAAATCGTTTCTTTGGGAAAGTCCTTCTGGTTGCCATTGAAGCAAAGATGCCTGCCCTCTTCCAGCTTCCCCACTAATGTAAGCTAAACATTCTACAGTGTTTCCCGGTTCCCAGTGGAATCCGGTTCCCACATTTTCCGCATCTCTTCTCTCTGACTTCACACTTCCTCTCTCATTGATTATGCTCTTACTCAAAACCCCAGAGTATCTGGTACACATGGGCCTATGAATGAATTCTCTGATCATTTTTTACTACCAAGTATTTTTAGTCAAACTTAGGTAGACATGTTATCAAAGCCTATATTGAACCATGTTACCTTGTTAGATTTGTATCATTTCTATGAAAATGTTGACCACCCATCTCTGATTCACGGGATTAGAGAGAGAAGTCAATGAGTTTTCTAGATTATGTTTTTACATGGAATAAAATGGATCATGGGTGAGACTGAGCATTTTACACATAAGCCTTATAGAATAGGGAGAGTTTTTCCTTAAAGTCATGTTTTCAACGAAGAACAAGTAGTTGCTATTACGTGTGTCTCTAAAGAAAAGATAAACATCCGTGGCTGTATTCTGATAGGTTTATAATCAATTACTAAACGAAGACATTCCTTTTCTAGTCTCAATAGGAGAAATAAATCCTAGAATTAGAAGATACCACAGATGATGAAGTCTGCTCTCCTATTCCCGGAACTTAACTTTAAGTGACTCCGTTGGTCCAGGAAGTCTTCCAGAAGTTCATGTTGAACACTTTCGAGGATTCCAGTTATGCTGCATGCAATTTACTATATGCAGTGAATTCCTTTGTTCAGACATTGCTAAGAGGAAGTGTGTGTGGGGGGGGAGGTCTGTTCGTAACAGTGCTAATGGGTGGCAGTATTATTTACCTGTGCAACTAGCATAGAGCAGGAGCTCAAGGACCTGACAGCAGCCGTAACGCTAGGGCAGGTATAACCATGTTGCAGCGCTGTGACTGCAAAGCAGCATCTCTCCTCACTCAGGTCATTGCTTTCCTTTGCCCAGGGTGGGCGTGTTATCTCCCACCTGTCCATACCACACAGCTGCTTCTGCAAAGTACGTTTCTCTTTGCATCACCTTGGACAGCTCCCTGCTTGCTTTGTTGTTTTTGTGCAGTGAGAAATCTACCACAACCATCCCACATGAATAATACTCCACTTCACAGAAGGACTGTGTGAGAAAACATCCCTATTGCTGTCTAATATTTCAATTCCTTACACCACCAACACAGCACTGCTTTCTGTGTATGGATTGCCTTGTTAAAGATGCAGGATAATTCACAGAAATTATCACATGTAAACAGAAAGCTTAGTATCAGATATTAAACTATTTCCCGTGATAAACAACTCCTAATAAGCATCTCCGGGCATGCGTGTTTGTATCCACGTGTAAACCAACAGAATAGTCAAGATACATAGAGAATTGCCTCTTGGACAGCAACACACAGTTGCATCTTCTCATACCACACGTCCACAGATACTTCCAAGAAAATGGAAAGAGGAAGAAAGGAAAGGGAAAGGAGGGAAGGAAGAGGGGAGGTAAAGAAGAAGGGAGGGATGGAATCCGCCTAGGTGCCCTTCACCAGATGAACACAAAAAGGAAATGTGGCATTTCTCCACAGCGGTGCTTGATTGAGGCAGGAAATGAGGGCGATCGTAAGCCATTTTCTTGTAAAAAACAAAAACACCAACAAAACACACATACCTGTGTTGAGCGGATCCAAGCAGCATTTCCTCTCTTGGCAATAAACTCATTGTGAACGAGACAAAAGCTCATGTGGAGGTACCAGAGAAGAGCGCAGGTGAGCTTGGTGTTGTTCCCTTGCAGGGTCTGTAGGTAGCAGAGCATAGAGCTTTCGTGTCCAGGTCTGGACAGAGGTTTACTGTGGGAGCAAGCACTCCAAAGGGCCTGCACACTGTGTGGCGCAGCCCATCTAGAGGTGGCCGCTCCCTCATTGCAGCTCTAGGACAAAATGCATGAGTGCAGAAGACCCCAGCACTTCCCCCGACCCCGAGTTGCCTGTCCCTGTGCCCCTCGGGTCATACTAGAGGGTATACAGTGTACCCAGTTTCCCTCAGCTGAGACATAGCAGAGTCTGCACTCACCACCATCATGTCTTCGGTTCAGGGCAAGTAGGAAGAGGCCAAGGCAAGGGCAGAAATCAGCAAGTTAAGCCTCAGTTCTAATGGAGGAATACTTGTTGACCAGCAGCCTTCTCCACCAGTGGAATAGCTTCCGCAGAGGATGGCAAGTTTTCCTGCAAACCACTGGAGCAGCATGGATGGGAAGGCATGCTTTGGGAAGACACTAACATCACAATGAGCGTCCAGCAGGACATGGAGGAAAGGCATCTGGAGGCGTCCTGAGAAGGATCTGTTGAACAAAATGTACAAGTGAGAAACGCAAGTGTGAAGGCTTCACTGTGGAATTCCCTCTGCAGTGATGCACCAGTGTGGAGTTAGAGGTTCCCGGTGGCAAAACGTACCCGGGAGGAAAGAGAAAAGGGAGAAGCCTTAGACGCCATATTGGACCAGAGGCCGGAGAAGATGCACTCTGTCACAAAACAGTGAACACTTGCTGACCCCTTATTATATTTTCATCTGATTTCAAATACGTCATCTCTCATATATCTCTCGCATTATCTGTAAGATTATCTATGATCTGTCCAACCTCTCTGTAAGGCGGCTATGTTTTGTTTGATTTTTTTAAAATTTTGTTTTCTTGTAAAGACGCTGTTCAGTGGGGTTGCAGTTTCACGAGCAAGGCGATGAGTGTATTTCTTGTTGAGCACTGTTACCACCTCCTTTGTTGTTCTCCCACAGTCCCTTCCCTCCCCTCCCTTCCTCCCCCCTCCTCCCCAACGTTGTAAAGTTCATTTCCGACGTAGTGTCTTGTGAACATCATCGTTGCAATGGGGCATCCTGCATCCTCGTTTCAGCGTTTTGTTATTCCCCTTCGTTTGATTTTTACCAAAGAGGAAAATGAGACTCCCAAAAGGTATGCCACTGACCTTCGATCCTAGCACTGGTTGGCATCCCTACCTCCAAAGAACACATTTATCCACGTGGTGCTTTCTGTATATCAGGCTGAACTCTTCTTTTTCTAAACGTACTGCTTTCAAATTCTCTAGACCAACAGCACTTTTATATGGTCATTAAGGGACACCCGCCATCTCCGTGAACACGGGAAATAGTCCCTGTGTGAGCCCTCCTGGGGCTACTGTGCAGTAAGAGTAAAATTGCTCTGGGAAGAGAAGGGCAGTAAAGGGGCAGTGCTGAGGCTGCCGCTTCATTCAGATGCTCAGACCGCTTGGTTGGGAGCAGAAGGTTGAGCACCATTCCAGGGCACTTGGGCTCTGCAGACGGACAGGCGGGCAGTGGCCAATTCAAACCTCAGAACACGAATACTGAAGAACCAAAAGCCACTTCCAAGTAC